TTCTTCTTCTTCTTCTTCTTCTTCTTCTTCTTCTTCTTCTTCTTCCTCTTCTTCTTCTTCTTCTTCTTCATCTCCTTCTCCTCCTCCTCCTCCTCCTCCTCCTCCTCTGCCTTCTCCTCAGCAGGACTCCTGAATGCTGCCTAATGTCTGACTGTGGGTCTCTGCAACTTACTCCATCAGTTGCTGGATGACTCCTCTCAGATGTCAACTGGGCCAGGCACCAATCTGGTCACAAGAGACAGCCAGTTCAGGCTATTTACTCACTATTGCTTTAGGGTCTACACTGGGGTCCTCCCCATAGACTCCTGAAAGATTTCCCTGTGCCAGACTTCGAACAGACCCCGAAAAGGCCCCCAAACAGAAATCCCCCTCAACACTCTCCCCCTCTGTACCCCCTCAATCTCATTGCCCAAGTTCTCATCCCACCAGCCTTCAGTTCATTCATGAAATCTTTTCTGTTTCTCTTCCCAAAGGAGATCTGGGTGTCCACCCATGAAGTATCTTTGTTACCCCGTCTCTCTGGGTCTGTGGATTGTGACATAATTATATTTTTTTTTACAAGTAATATCCACTTGTAAGTGAATATACATCATTCTTTTATTTGAAATCACTTCTATTTCTCCTTCCCAGGGAGATCTTGGTGTCCACCCATGAACTCTCTTTGTTACCCTGTCTCTCTGGGTCTACAGATTATTATATAATTATCATTTTTTTACAAGTAATTTCCACTTATGAGTGAATAGATATCATGTTTTTCTTTATCTGTCTGAGTGTGACCTCACTCAGGATGATTTTTTTTCAGTTTCCATCCACTTGCTTCAAATTTCCTGGTGCCCTTGTTTTCAACAGCTGATTAATACTTCACTGTATAATATATCACATTTTCTTTATCCATTCTTTGGTAGAGAGACTTCTAGGTTGCTTTCAAGTTCTGGTTATTACAAATAAAGCTGCTATGAACATAGTTGAGCAAGTGTCCTTGTGGAATGATTGAGTGTCCTTTGAGTATATGCCCACAAGTATTATAGTTGGGTTTTGTGGTAGGTTGATTGCCAATTTTCTGAGAACCATCACACTGACTTCCAAAGTAGCTGTACAAGTTTGCACTCCCACCAACAATGCAGGAGTATTCCCCTTGCTCCACATGCTCTGCAACATGAGCTGTAGCTTGTGTTTTTCTTATGTTAGCTATTAGTACTAGTGTTAGATAGAATCTCAATGTCATTTTGATCTGCATTTCCCTGGTGGCGAGGGATGTTGAACATCTCTTTAAAGGTTTCTCCACCACTTGAGGTGTTTCTGTTGAAATTATCTGTTTAGATATGCACCCCATTATTTCTTTGGATTGTTTATTTGCCCATATTCATGATAATTTTAGAACAGAATCATTCTAGATTGGATTTATGCGAAATTTTTGTACTCCTGTGAATAGGAACCAAGTTGTGTGGTCACAATCATTCTAGATTAACTAGATACATTTAAATTTCAAAATGGTTTAAATAGAGAAAACCATGTGGTTGTCCACGAATTCAGAGGAGATTCCAATGTCCTATGATAAACACACGTTTTCTATGACCTGAGTGGGGTGTCTCATCACAAGTCACCCCATACAAACAGGACATCTAATATGTGCTAGAATGATTTCAGAAATTGTGAGGAAGAAGATATCAGTGAGTGCTTAAGAGAGGCCCCCATCTTGACTTTGAAGAACAGATACTACTGGGATCTGGGAAGACACAAAAGGCTGGTGTGAGAGCTTGGAGAGTGACATGCAAGGCTTTTTTTTTTGAAGGTAGTAAGTAAATAACTTTTCAGAAATCAAAATTTAATGAAACATGCTAGTAACACACAGTGCTTGGAAATGGTGATTAAAATGAATTCCAAACAAAGAATTTTCAAAATATTTATGTGGCTTCATAGTGTTATAAAATTGTGGCTTTAACATCTTTATGTAGAAGTAAGTGGGAATTGCTTTCATCGCTCTGTATGTCAGGAGACAGAATGGAAGACTGGAGAGTACCTGAGAAAATTAGCTGGAACTGAGAAAATGAGCTGGAACATGACTGGGCTCATACCTTCTTAGGTAAGGTTATATTATAATCTTACTTGAAGGTCCTCCTGTAGAAAACAGTTGGCACAATGTTCAGAAAGTGGCCCCTAACCAGAGAATCTCCCATAGGCAATGATCTCAAGACCCAAAGAAATGACTGAAGGAAGTACAAGGGATTTCAAGGAATCAATCATATTGTTTACTTTCCAAGAAGATTGAGATTTGCTTAGGTATGAAATATTCCCCATAGTATTAATTCCAATATTCAAAGAAATGCTGAGTCTCTGAGACTTGACAAGATGATCTTAGCTGGGTGAGTGATGCCTAGGCGGTAGTATACATCCACTTCTTGGAAACATAGCAATTTTGACCGAACAGGTGATTAAAAAGTGCTGGTGATATATTAAAGCTGAGTCAGCAGTAGGGAGCCATGGATTAAAAGATTACCCACAAAGACTTCCTGGAAAAAACTTTCTACTTGCAAAATCTTTTGAAAACCATGGTCTCAGAGTGTATAAAAAGTCAGCAGAAGCTCTGTTGGAACAATCCCGAAGACACAATGGCCAAGCTCATTCTTGCTACAGGTGAGTTGATAATCAGACCTAGACCCTCAGTCTTGCCTGATTCTTTCCTCACAGGATCTTACAAGGAAACAATTTTGACACTACAGCTCTAGGCTTTACCATTTTTTATTTGTCACTGAAAATTTTCTTTCCTTATTCAGACTTTCCTGGCTCTCATAAGTCGGTAGTTGAGAGAATACTTTTGCCTTCACTGATACCACAGGCAAGACACTGATGTCTCCCCTTCATTCAATGCTTCTTTTGCTCTTTTTTTTCAACAGTCATTCATTGCCCTGACCTCTTGTCATATCACCATTCTGAAATTCACCATCTGTTTATTTTCATGTAGGTGTTGTGGAACAATTTTTTGATAGATGGATATCAGTTGACTCTGAGATAGAGTTCTCCAAGTTTTCTTTGCTCTTCTTTTTTTTCGGAATTATTTCACATCTGTCCTCCATTGTCCTATTTAATTGCTGATTTAAATTGTCATAGGGAGAGACATTCAATCATTTGGGAGTTTGATTTAGGCATTTTAACCCAAGTTGTTCACAATTTAGCAATTGCACTAAATCTGTTTCTGTATACACTTTTCTCAGCTTCAGAACCTTATTCAAGTGAAGACAAGCCCAATGTGTAACAGATTCACAGTAGAGATGCTCTAGTTACATGATAATGATTGAATCCCAAAATATCAGCACTCAAGAGGCACAGTCAGAACACTGTGAAGTAGAAGGCCAGCCAGGGCTACCTACTGTGAGAACCTGACTCATTGATCAAAACAGCACAAACAAAGAGGAAACATCCTTAAACCTAAATTGTTTCTTTGTATCTAAAAATGTCATATGGAGCAAAACATCTTATTTTCTCCAGCAAGGGCTCTTAACAGATGCTTCCAAATAATGGCCAAGGCTCCAGAAGATATTGAATGATGTACTTGAGATGTGTCTTGGCTGGAGGAAGCCTTGACATATTACAGCTCTGGGGAATGCAATGTGTGTGCTCACTAAGTAGAAATTCTTGTGAGTCATTTCATTCAGTATCACTGGCAGAGGTAGTAGATTTCAAATTCCATAACAATTGGGACACACAAGGTGGAACCGAAGGACGCTACCAGGTTTTACTGATAAGTGTAGATGATTTTGAAAAGCATAACCCCAAGGTCCACACCTTGTAAAACTGTAATGTTTCTTTGGGGATGTAATGATATATAGAGTTAGTAACACAGGCCACATGAACTGAGAATTTGATCCTTATGATTCTAGCAGCTGATTCAGAGAAAAATGTGTTTTCTCTCTCTCTCTAGGTTTGGCCATTGTGCTGAATGCTCTGTTGGGTGAGTTATATTATATTACTTTAATATAAGTCTCTATAACTTATTAATTATTCCTAATGCAAGCTTCTGCCTGCTATGATTCATTTTAGTATTACTTTCTCACATTGGTTTATTGGCAGAGGATGTTATAAGATAATCTACATAGGGGAAAGAATAGGGTTAGCCTTGTGGATAGTAGACTCATAGCTTTCACTGTTCTCTCTAGGGAGATGAGTTAAGAGTTTGAAACAGGTAAATTCTGGGTTTCACAGGAAGGGTGTGTTTGCTCCAGAGGCTCCAAAGGTTAGCCATAATTTGACTGAATCTCTACACTTCATAAATAAATGTACAGTTATTGACTGGAATAATTCTATGTACCTGTATACGGATAGTAGCAAGGAGATGGGGAAAGGCAAATTTTTTATCAAGTTCACTGGAAACTACATGAGAACATTGCTCTTCTGATAACTTCCCACAGGTTCTGCCTACCAGCTCATGTGCTATTATACCAGGGAGGCCAAGAACCGGGATTACCCTGCGAAATTCAAACCTGATGATATAGACCCCTGCCTGTGTACTCACGTCATCTATGCCTATGCTACGATGCGGAACAATGAGATCACTCCGATAAGCATGGAGGACTTGAGTGACTATGATGCCATAAACAATCTGAAAACCAGGTAAGAGAAGGACAAGGTAAGAGATATCTCTTTTGGTACATGTGTGTCGATAGTTGGCACATTTTAATGCTTCTTTAAATGTAACTCTGAATCAAAGTACGTGAGAGGACAATCTGCCAATGTATTTTTCTTGAATTTTAAACTGAGACAGACTGATTGTTTTTATTGTATACAACCTTTGATTTCTGCCTAGTACAAAATGGCTCATGACCCCATTAGTGTATATGTTATCTCACCTACTTCTACCTAACATGATAAACGTTCTTCTAATTCAATGTCCTTGTGCATATTCTTCATATTTCATTAATTTTTGACTGTTTTTCCCTTCTGTTTCTTCCTCCCATTTGCTAAGAATGACCATTCTACTTTCACTTCTATGTGTCCGAATATTTTAGTTAGCATTTGTAATCAGACCATATTCTATTTGTCTATCCATCACCTTTTCCCATAATACAATGTCCACCTGATTCACAAACTGAGTTGCAAAAAGCAACCTTCATCTTTTTGTGGTCAAAGAGTTTTGTGGGGTTTATGTATAGTACATCATTTGTCCATTCATCCAGTGCCAGATATTTTCTGTGATACCACATTGTGTTTTGTAAGTAATGCTACCGTTCTTGTCAAGTGTTCTCATCCTTTAGGAAGAAAATGGTTCCATGTACTTTAGATATAAACTAAGCAGTGTGGTTGCTGGGTCATGTGACAATTTTATCTTTCTGAAGGATCCTCACTGTGCTTTCTTATGTGACTGTCATCAGCTATATTTCCACCAATGGTATAAAAGTGTTTTTTTTATTCATACCCCAAGAAAATTGAATATTTTCATCTTTACTATACTCATTGTGATAGACATGAGACATCATCTCAATGTGATTGTAATTTAAATATCTCTCTTAGAAATGTGCTAGGGTGATTTTCATTCACCTGTTAGGTTTCATCTTTTGTGAAATGTCTATCCCCGGGCTTTGCCCACTTTCTCAAGGATGATTTATTTCTTGATCTGTATTTTCTTCCATTCCTAGTATATGTATTCAAATTAATTCCTTAACATTGTATAATTTAAAGTATGTATTCTCACCGGGCAGTGATGGTGCATGCCTTTAATCCCAGCACTTGGGAGGCAGAGGCAGGCGGATCTTTGTGAGTTCGAGACTAGCCTGGTCTACAAAGCGAGTTCCAGGAAAGGCGCAAAGCTACACAGAAAAACCCTGTCTCGAAAAACCAAAAATACATAAATAAATAAAGTATATTTTCTCACCCAGTCTAATGTAAATCTCTTTATGCAGTTGATTTTTCTTTTTCCCCTGATTCATAGAAGAAACCACTTTTTTTCACTTTTTAATAGTAGTCTATATGTTTAGGAATATTTTCAAACAATCTCACTGCACAAATGACTCCAATGAATATTTTATCATTTTCTTAAAGCACTGATAGATTGAGACCTTATCATTATATCCCTATTCCACTGTCATTTGATTTGTATCTATGGTGTGAGACTGGGAAACAGCTTCTTGAGTGGCATATAGAGAAGACTGATTTTCAACCTCTTGCTGCAGGATGCTGCTGCCACTTATTGCTTGGAATCCACATGCCAACTGCAAGGAAGCACACAGTCTTTTACAAATCCTGATGTGATCACTATGACTTCCTATGGGGATGACTGACTTTCTTTGTCTTGAGGATTGCTTTTGCACTATAGGTATTTTTTAAAAGGGGAAGAAGAGATCTTAGCTTTCTACTTCAGAAAGTAGGACCTAAAGGATATTTTAATTTAGATAGAACTGATTCCCAGAATCATAAATTTTGATTTGTTCTATTACAGTTTTCCTTTCTTTAATAAGCCAAGTGCTCATGTTTTACAATCGCACTTTTGGCTTTAGCCATAACTAAGATGAGGAAAACTCAGTTCACTTTTATTTTCGGTAATGACACTTTCCTTAGGAATAATCTAAGCTATAATTCTCAACTGAAAATAAGTTCATCTAAAGGAATTTCCTTGACTTTCTTCCTTTTGTTTTCCTGCATCAAACTAAACCAGACACTGAAAGCAATTCCTGTTCCGATGCCAGATTACAAACTCTGAACCTCTGAGCAAGAGATGGGAAGCCTATAACTCTAATGTTTTCAAACAACTGTCAATCATAACATTTTGGAAGCTAATGCCTCAAAACAACTATCCCCATGAAGATCTAAACTTCCCCAAGGAATGATTTGTATTCATTTATGGAGGTTGAGAAGTTAGCAAAGCTAAAAGAATCTGTCACTTCATGTGATCAGGAATAATGTGAGTTAACTGTGACATAACTTTGGTTCTAAGTTATTGACATAGAAATGCAGTTAGTAAGTATCACAGTGCAGTTAGAGTTATGCTTAAGGTTAAGGTTAGTGTTATGTTAGGCTTAGTGTTTAGGGTTAGGTTTAGGTTACATAGAAAACTTGTGTAGACAACGTTACTTTAAAGAACTTGCACTAAAATTGTAACAAAGATTTTTAGTACAAAATTTTCATAAGTAATGGAGAACTATACTGGGGTGGGTTCTTTTTCATGACATCACAGTACTAAATAATACGAGAAATGAACAAATCACACTGCTATTATATATAAAGGAAGCCAAGACTTTTTGTATTTCTCTTTTACTGCTGTTTTTAAGGAACACGGACCTGAAAACTCTTCTGGCCATTGGAGGCAAGAAGTTCCCGCCTAGTGGGTAAGTTCTGTACACACAGTGCTCTTTGCTAGTGTGACAACACAATCTCATTCCATTACTTCTCATTTTCAGAAAGGTATTAAGAATATCCATTGGGTAAATAGGTTAAGTTCTATTTCACTAGAAGCTCTAATTAAACAGAATGCACTCTTTGCAAGTGCACATGTAGCTTTCACAAGTTCAAATTCATTTTGGTTGTTCTGGAATACCAACCTCTGAGTTACCTACTACAAAGAGCTGGTTCTTTAAGTGGTTAAAGTCATCCAGAGGAGAGGAGTGCCATGTACTGCTTCTTTCCACCTTTTTAGGAACTGAATTGAGGGCTCTTATACAAAGGA